ACACTAGTTGGTTTGATTTTAAAACGATTTACAATCCCTACTTTGGTTGGCATTGTGATCCGCATAGTAAAATGAAGCAGTCTAAATTTGCCAACCAAAACCGAGATTGAAAATCGTTTTAAAATCAATCCAACTAGTTTCAATTTACTTGTTTGTGTACTTTTCATTGCAGCATTTTTGTTTTGGATACTTTTTATAACAATTCTACTAATAACCAACGATCCCTACCTTACGTTAATTTTTTTTCCTATTTATAAAATCTGCATTTTTAAAGGAAATATTGTAATTTCTACGCTTCCAATTTTAAAAGCCTGTTCATCTTAGTAATCCGCATCTTCTTTTTTTTTACATTTTTCAAATACGGTATCGTATCCGATTTAGCTTCTCTCGTACACCTGCAGTATTACTAACTGAAATCATTATAAAATATTTCTTTTTTAATCACTTGAACTTAATCTTCTATAGGATGATGAGCTCTTGAAACAGCTTGAAAGCTTGTGGTTAGAAAAACAGTTCAACTTGTGAACGAGTAATCATTTATTAAACAGTATACTTAAAAGACGAATGCAGCCCTTGAAAGTGTAAAAATCTTGAATATTTTTTTAAACTTGTCGTTTTTATTCTGAACAATATGTAAATTGATCTCTTACATTTAGTTCATTCAGAAGATTGAGACGAGACTTTCGATAATCTAAACCGTATTGAAATGACATCCACACACAAAAAATTTATTGAAAAATATAATAGCATATTCTTAGAATTACTAGGAAACGTTTTTTTTTATTATATGATAATGACAGGTAAAGAAATAAAGAATAAAGATACTTGCAAAAACCGTAACACCTACAAAAGACGCATTTCTGTACTTTAGTAACATGCGTTACTACATCCTGTTTGCATCTCCGATTGCTTAAAGAAAAATAAGATTTTTAAATGCAGTTTTATAAATCCTCTAGGACCTCATATTCATAATACGGAGGCCACTCGAAAGTTACTGTTATGTTATTCTATGCTTACAACTAAGCCTTAGGAGTGACTATAATATTAAACCATAACGAACTTACTTCGAAGAAGCTCCATTATCAGGTACTATTTGTTTGGAATCTTGAGCCCCTTGGATAGCCTGCAATAATAATAAAATGCACTATAAATGACATTCTAGCATAAATAACATATTTGAAACATGCATTTTTTATCACCATGAAACAGCTAATTGATATAGATGACCTTTTACGTAAGAGGAAATTTGAAGTCGAATATGAAGACTAGGGAATTTTAACTAGGAGAAACTAGACCGTGATATCAATTGTTTAATTCAAAAGAAGAATTGTATTTAGAAACTCCACTTCTATACTCGATTACAATACATTTCTGCTCGTACATAATCAAAGTAGTTATACGAAATATGAGAAAAGTTTTGTTCCTGGGCCATTCATCAGAACAAAAACTCACAAGCTTAACTTAACTGAGATACATGGTTAACGTCACCGCGTATGATATTGTTGATCCACAACAGTAAGCTTGCTTCCCATACACAGAAGCCACTATTAACTGCAACAAAGGGCCATTTCATAACCGTTGTATCAAGTTACAAGAGTTTAGACAGATTGGATATGGATGAAAGCGTTTAGCTTAGGGATTCATATCAAACGCAATCGATGGCGAGACGCACTCTCCTCCGCAAAAATCTGGCTATTAGATGGAAGGAAACCTTAGAGCCCCAACGAAAACCTACGGTTTTCGTTA